ACGACCTTCCTTACAAAATAGATTTTGTATACAATTCTTTAAAAAAATAATTTTTAATTTAGCATAGGTGGTCTTAGCCCCCCTCCCCCCCCCCCCCCCCAGCCCCCTCCCATTTTTTTGTTTGCAAAGATAGACATGATATAGGCATAGAGAATTGAGGCTTAGTCCCCAATTTTTTTGTTTTTGTTTTTAGCCTCCCCCTTTTAATCTGCTTCCCACGATGGAGCATGCTCTGAATACGATGAATGTTTAAACTGAGGCAAGCTACTGACAAATAAGTTAATGTTACGAAGATTCTAACAATCCCGTATAAAATCAGCTTTTTGCAAATTCTACGGTCGTTGTAATGAGCTAATGACCTTGTTTGTAAATACAACCTATCGTTGGGTCGTATTTTTTCTGACATGCTCCATACCATTTGTTAGTTCATTGCCTTGATATTAAATTTTACTACGGAGTACTCCGTCTATCTGATCAATACATAGGGGCTCACGGCGGGTGTAGATGAAAGAAAACAACTAAAAGAGAAACTAAGCTTAAAAAGAAAGAGTACTAGTATAGAAGGAGTACAATAAAGACAGGGGAGTAAAAAAGTATGAGGAGGGACAAACGGGCCTGGAGACACAGACAGCAGCACAAACTGGTAATATAAAACGTGTGTACGATGTCATGAAGAAGTTGTGTAAAGATAAACCAAAGAATCTAGCTGTTGTGAAGAACAAAGAATGGGGAATAATATCAAAAGAAACAGAGATAAGACAAAATGAATGGATCACTTTAACAGAATACCTAACAGGTCTAACCCAATCAACCAGCCAGCCAATATGAGACCAGTCTACAAGTATAGTCAACATAGAGAGAACCACCAATCAAAGATGAGATCAGAAACACCATTAGAGACATACAAAAAATGGAAAGGCACATGGAGTTGATAACATCACGACATAACTTTTAGAGGCCGACACAGAACACAAGATCCATACGCGGATCCAGGAATTTTTTTCCGGGGGGGGGGGGTTCCACCCTAGTAAAAAAATAATCCAACCCAGAAATTTGTTGACAAGCAAAAAAAAAAAAAAGAAAGTAAACGTAAACTCGCCGCCAAAATGTGAAAAATCTTGTGTGTGTGTGTGTGTGAGAGAGAGTGTGTTGGGGGGGGGGGGGGGTAGTCGGTAGTACTTCTTACCTTTGACTTTTCATACCAACTTAACACAGGTACGCATTTTCGAGGGGGTCTGCGTTTTCTGGGGGGGGTGGGGTGGTCCAAGGTCACTTTTTACTTGGTTTAGTATATAAATTTAATAACTCTGCAAATTCCGGGGGGGGGGGGGTCCGGATCCCCCCGACCCCTCTAGATCCGTGCATGAGATCATTCAAATTGAAGTGCTCCACAAGACTGGAACAAAGGTCTTATAGTTAATCTCCCCAAAAAAGGAGACAGCACAATGTGGAAAGTGGAGAGTCCGAGAGATACAGAGAAAGTTTGGTTATGCTAGAGTAGGCTACAACAGACTTTCCAAGATGTAGTCAAACATCCAACTTTCAAGAAGGATCAAATTGTTCAAGATCTTCCAATACAAAAGTATTATCTGTTTTAATGTATGGCGCTGAAACATGAAAGATAAACAAAGGAGATGAAAAACTATACTTGACACCTTCCTCCATAAATGTCTGAGAAAGATTATGAGGGTATTTTGAAAATCACACATGGAAGAGTAAGAGAACATGGATCGAGAATTGTTTTCAGAAGATATTTTTGTCTGTCCCAAGCTGATCTACAGTCGATCTCACCCCCCTCCCCCTCTCTCAGAAGGGCGTGCACTTCGTCTGACTCCGTATTCGTGGCGTTCCACATGGTAACAAATTCAGAATACGCTCTTTTATGGTTATAGATATTGTCCTTTGTGTTGGAAAGAAAACCTCAAACGGCTTGATTTTGTCAGAACTTGGACGTTTTCCACTAGCTGTTACAATGAAACTAAGAATGTTTAAATATTGGATCAAATTAAGAACAACAGAAAATTGCATTCTTAAGTCTTGTTATGAAAATATGGTACTACAAAATGACAAATGGATTTTACAAATTAAAAAAGAACTGTCTTTTCTAGAACTATAGGCCAACTTTGGACAGAAAACCACTTAAATTATAGAGCTTATAACATTATAAAACAACGACTTTCAAAGCAAAATATAACAGAAAGTATATCAAACTCTCCAAAGGGTTATTTGTATCAACATTTAGTTGTCAATTTCTGTTTGCAATCATATTTAACAAAACCTATTGACAAACAATTTAGACAACTATTAACAAAGGAGGACTGCACTTAACGCCTGTTTTGGGGTCTTTTTCGGTTGCTTCTGTTGCTTTTATATCTAAACCTTATCTCATGTTTGTATGTTTATGAAAGAATACTGTCAATTTGGAACCACATTTAGATCTTAAAATGATTTTAGACTGTGATACAATGAAATGATTCAATGTTTTTTGTCCTTACTATCTGCTTTCCAAATATAGTGAATTTACACTTACCTGCCCTTGATTGAACATTAGATATGCATGAGAGGTGGAGCTAACATTGTAAGAATGGGTCTAAAATTAGACTTGATAAATAACAATGACATGTTTGGGAAAGCGAACGTGATCACTCTTTCCAATCTCCCTCTCCATTCTGTATGGCACAAATACACTTCTGACAAAGGTTTCAAAACGAAATTAACAATATGGCCACGTCAATGTAATGAAATCAGATTTTATATCAATGCCAGATGACTTAACGTGTTCGAACACAATGTCCTAGTTAAACATGCTACCTTACAAGTCACGTCACGGAATTTAGTATCAAAGTTACCTGAGGTAAGAAATCACGTGGTGAATTATAATATTCAACGTCACAATCCTTGGTTACAACACAGAGAGCGAATGTAAGAAGAAGCAATTTTTTCTCTTTTTAACCATGAGCGCATGTTTGTCTATTAATCTCCATCTGACACATTATTATTTATGCAAATATACAACTACTGTTAAACGTAGAACAATAGACAAACATGCGCTGACTATGTATAACGTCAGTAAAAAAGTGGGCGTCCCCATTATCGAACGGAGATTCAAGAAATTGTGATGACCCCTGCCTTTGAAAACAGATTCGAACTTCGTAAATACGCACTTTTATTAAACGTAATTACATAAAGTTGTAGATTGGATGTTTACCATTCTTGCAATGAAAAGAAAAATGCTTGTTTTGAAAGTTTATTTTGTCGCAAATTCCGCATGTCCTTAAGTGCAGTCATCCTTTAGGTTATCAAATCATATGTTGAATATTGAAACAGGTCGACACCGTAACATACCCAAGATTAATAGATTATGTATATGCTGTAATCTCCATGATGTAGAAGACGAATTTCATTTTATTTTGAAATGTCCTTTGTATACTGATCTAAGAGAGAAGTTGTTGAAAAAGTATTATTAAAACAAGCCTAGTGTCTTTAAATTAATTCATCTGTTAATAGTTCTAATAATACTAAAGATCTCTTAAATTTGGGCAAATTTTTGAATGCTGTCACATTGTTAAGAAAAAATAATATCGATGTCTAAGACTATTTTCATGTGTGTATTTTTTATGTTCACTCTCTCTGTATGATTTTTTTTCCTTTTTTCTTAATAGATTCTTAATGACTATTCTTTGTTCAATAGTTGATCTAGTTCGAAATACATGACGTTTTCCTGGCTTTTTTACGATTTTGATATTTTACGTGCCATGAAAACGTCAGAACCCGAAATTTCGCCGTCTCCAACCGGAGTTGATTTTCGAGACTTGCGAACCAAATTAAATGCCGCACTCACAATTTATCAATAGCACAATGCTTCTAGTACTCACAAATATGTGATATGAAAAGAAAACATCACTGCACATTTCGATACAGGACTTGCAAGATTTTAAAATGCACGAAAGGAAAACAATCTCGACAGTCAGATAAAATGTTTTCATCAGATTGTATATTTTACAAACGAACCATAAAAACGATGTTGGTGAGTACTAAAAGTATTGTACTATATTGATAAGTTGTGAGTTTGATATTTAATTCGGTTCGCACGTATCGAAAACCAACCCGAGAATGCCGCCTCCGGTTGGAGGCGGAGAATTCCCAGTTTTCCTAATTTGCGCCGGTTCTGACGTTTTCCTGGCACGTAAAATATTAAAATCGTGAAAAAAAAAGCCTGGAAAACAGATATTTCGGACTATGGTTGATCAAGCCAGATTTATATATTTACAAAAAGACATTTTGACTTGAGACTGAAGATTTTCTTCTCTGGTAAGTTACTAATATTAATTTCATATTTAAAATAATCATCCTATATAGAGTATGCAAAAGTTATTTGAATTCCATTTGCACTTACTAAAGTGAATGAATGAATTTGAAAGTTATTTTATGATGTATATTTATTATTGATTAGAAAATCAATTTTAAGTATTTGACAGAAGTAATTTGATGTTAATCAGATTATATGTTTTTATGATGATCAAAGATATATTTGATGATATTGTTCAAAATGAGCAATAATTGATATATTTTTAGAGAGATAGTATTTTTAAATATCATTGTATTAAATTACAGATCACCATTCACATATAGACACTTGCGTGTAAATGTATATTAAAAAAAAGATGTAGGAAAGCCTATTCCCATAGAATGGTGAGATTGAGATTTATATGTTTTTAATCTTGAATATTTTTTATAAATATTATGGGAGAAATATGTAAAGTTCCCGTTGTGTTTAAGTCCAGCTATTGAAGTAAAAGTAAAAAAAAAAGCGGACGGATAGAGGATTCGCAGAAAAAACAACAACAACAACAACAAAAACCCTTCTGTTCAAATATATTTCCACCAAGTTCAAACTTGTTAACTAATCGACATGCGACAAAATCACGTGATTATGACTTTTATCATATTTTCCCCGCTGGAGCCCCAATATGCCAATTGCGCATAGGTTCTGCGCACTTATCATAACAGGCCGGATTGTAAATCAATGGACGTTGAAAGATGTACAGAAACTTAGACAGATATATGAGAAATAGCAGAGATTGACGTGACCACTGCATATCTTATTTTAAAACACTGAAAGAAAAGAGGCGATTTGGAAAAGGTAAATATTTATCATATCGTTTTCAAGCAACATTTTTAAGGAATCAACACGAGGAGCGTACCTTGGTGTACGTGAACATCAGGCGGCCATTTTTATTTTCTTTGTTCACTCCGAAGCCCAAGAGTGAACAAGTAAGGAGATATATAACTCTTTTTAACCCAAATGTGTTATGATTGATATTCTCTGCACACACAAGACCTAACGAAGTATCAGTAAACAACTCGTTACGCAAAATTGAAACGGCTTCTGATGCTTGCGAATATTGGGGGATTATAACATATTTTATGACCTGGAACAATGATATGGTTTTTAGTTTTTAATTAGTATACTCAAAATTTATACATACTCAGCTTTTTGACACAGGGTTTTGAGTATTTTAATCACAAGAGTAATCTCGTGTTCTTTTTCTGACACCCTCTTCTATAATGTATTGGAGAAGGGGGGGGGGGGGTAACGTACCCCTCTTATGCATGTTATATATTGTGAAAATCAATGCCTGTCAAAATGAGCAGATACCCTTACAAAATTTAAGTGATGCTGTATTACAATGAAGGCTCAATCTAGTCACTACTTCCCGTCTCGTTTTTGTATATTAAGCAACATCAGATAACAGTATTAGAAGTATTGCAAATCTACAAAATAACAAAGCATATTCACCACCGAAAGAGTCCATATTGTTTTATTATATAGTCCGGTTTTGAATAAATAAGACATTGAAGGCTGCATGATGATATCACTTTCATTTAGGAACTTCTATCATGGAAAAATGAAAAAAAAAAATGTCCAGATTACAAGTTACAGCTTCTGTGTTTTCCTTTTGCTGTTTGTAAGACCAGCATTTTTTTTTCCTTATAAAACTGGTACTGATAAAAGGTACCATTCCCAATGCCAAAAAAAGTTAATTTTTCCCAATTTGGAGACTAAAAATTCCCAATTCCACTCCCAAGCAAAAGACTACGATGACATCGTATTTCTTTTTATATGAAACATTGTACAAGTTGACTAATTCTTTCACTTCCGCTTAAATCGAAATACTTGTTGTTTATTCTTTAAAACACGGAGTAATAGGTAATGAGGTTGGAATAAACACAGAATACGTTTCATTTGTTTAAATGACAGAAAATTCTCCTTTGTTCTACTTTGATGCTATTTCCCAATTGAAGCGGTACTGGACCCTTAGCCAATGGGTAGAAAAAAATCGCTGAAGACATAGAAATGTTTAGAAAATAATCCTGCGATAGACGTGGCTAATGTTTTTCCTGCTTAGATACACAGCTGGCTCCGGCTGTTGCAACCATTGTTTACAACGTTGTCTGAGGTGTTGATTGTAATGTCACAATGCCGCTGCACACGCACCGACCCTCCAGTGAATACGGCTTCAAAACCAGTGAATATGTAGTGTTATGAACTGTTCGCGTTTGTATAGATTATATAGGGACTATAAATAGACTATATAGTAAGAGATGATATTCACCAGAAAAAATTGCAGCCTCTGTCAATATTGATATTTTTTGGTGAATATCATATTAACCACCTAAGGAGTCCATAATTGTTTTATTATATATAGTCCTGTATTGAATAATAAGAAATGAAGGCTGCATGAAGACAACATGTTTGTTAATGAACTTCCCTCACATAAAGAACAGAGTTTCTGATAGCACATATTTCTATCAGTCATTCGGGCTGATGACTAAATGTGTTCTACCAATCCGAAGCAAATTCTATCAGTTAGAACAAATGCTAGTATAATTCATTCTGTAATTCAAAAGAATATGACACATTGTTTCACCTGAAAGTATAGGTCAAATTGCTGCAGAACATCAATGCCATCCTAACTGGACCTTGAAAGTACTCAGATTGATTGTAAATGTACAATACCAATTGTGAGACAATGCAATAGATAAGAGTACAATTAGTTAGAATAATCTGTGTCTCGGGACAAGCCTCACCATAGTTAGAATACGTCCCACATATCGATAGTTGCAATGTAGCAAATCGGAGCAGATCCCCTTCAAAACAATTTTAAAGAATACAAGAGAAGTTGCATTGGAAATAACTACTAAATTAATCATAGCAAACCTTTTTGAGCTTGTATAATGTCTTTTACCCTAAAATTCATTTCTCAACGTTTTTCTCTTGCTTTGAATTTACATGCCATGTTGACATTCGGAACACTCTAGATTATTCGTAGTAGTGTAGATTAGAATTATCTGCCCCAATTTATTTTGCTACAATTGCAAGAAAGTAATCTTGCTAAAGGCTTTTTGAGATATGACGAAAAGACAAAAACTTGGGACTACAACGAATACTCCAAACAAGCAATGGATTGTTAAGCCGGAAAATGATTGGTCACCCGGACCGATAACACAGTGAATTGCACCGAACATTTCATTGTTCTTTTGGTTTTGCTGGAAGGACCGATGGTTTTTGGACACTCTGAAAGAATTAAAAAATGTTTCTATTACAAGTTTTAACAGCCATGTTCTCCTTTCGTAGTGAACGTGAAAGACAGTGCAGAAAATAGACATTTTATGCATAAACTTCTAGTGTTTCAAAAAACTTTTTTAGACTTAGAATTGGAGTGAAAGAATAGTGCTTAAAAATAAGAGTTGGTTGATAATTCAATTTATTACATTTTCAACAGTGAAGTACTGTAATTTATTTACTGAATAAAAGTGATATTCTGACACAGTGTGAAAGGGTATCAAAATGGTATTCTCACATTGTGAGAATATCAGAAGTGCGGCAAAACTTACGATTTTCCTTCCCTTCAAGAAGAGTGTTTTCAAAAAAAATCCCTGACCAGTTATAAGAAAGAGTTAATGAGCGATCCTGACAGAGACTAATAGTTATACTGACAAAGTTTTTCCAAATATTCGTTAAAAATCCATGTTTACAACGTTTTTCAATCTCGCAATCGCTTAGCTATGACGTTTAACCGCTCAACTATGAAGTCACAGTTTATGACACAGTGTTATGAAAAGACAGAGGCAAAGGGAAAATCTAAGAAAATGATGAATCTGAAATTTATTTCACTTGTGAGACAGGATTTTTTGTTATTTTCACTCATGCTTCGCACTCGTGAAAATATAAAAAAATCCTGTCCCACTCGTGAAATAAATTCCATATTCATCTACGAAACATTGAATATCCTCTATATATTAACATTTGCCAATGCTTTCTTTTATATAACACTATTGAAATCAATGTGTATCTATATCCGTATAAACACAGGTTCCTCATGTCGCAAATTTTTGACGTAATTTGTCAGTGACATCATAAAGGGCCGAAGTGCAATCAATAGATCAAACTTGTGCTGTTGAGTTTGAAAAATTAAACATTTTACGCAATTATTATAAGATTATAATCAGGCAAATATAAAATATAAAAAGGTCACAAATGTAAATATAAGTAATAAGGTATCATTTTAAAACATCTATCGGGATGTAAATGCGGGTTGATACTAGTGATGGGAAATCGGAAGAAAATCATAATCAATTATCGGTAATAATCGGCTGTGCATAATCGATTAAAAATCGATTATAATCGAATTTTTAACTTAAATGAAATAAATATAAAAAAGTAAAACTTATTCAGATTTAAGTTCAGATTTTTGCAAAAAAATTATTTAATTAATTATATTCATAAATGTTTATTATTTTTTTCTTTAATAAAGTGGAAAAAAGGATTTCTTTACTTTTAAAAAAAATATATTGAATGGGAATTTCCTTTTACAAAAATCTCACTAAAAATATTGATTGGGAATATTACTGGTATTAGTCCCACCTTGCATTACATGTATTTATTTCTTGGAATTACAAGTTTAAAAAGTAGTTACATGTATCCAGAATTTGGACTTGTATTCCTGATTATAATTACGTTTACAGATCGTCTGTATTATTAATGATTTCCTGTGTATAGTAAAACCTCGTAATATTGTCCGTGTTTCTGTTATTAGTCTGACCCTAGATTCAATCATGGTGGTAAATATCAACATGGCATGGATACCTTCGATATTTTAAACATTCATCACTACTTTAAAACTCTTTGCACATGGATTTGGTAATAAATTTTAAGTATTACAATATATTTTTTTTTTGGTCAGCGATGTCGGCGACATTTATTTTGTAATCGATTAGTAGCATCAAAGAACTCCTAACAACCGACAATCGATCGTTGGCGACAATCGGCCCATCACTAGTTGATACGAGATCAATTTTATCATAAAGCCCTTTGGGCTTCATGGAATTTGATCTCGTGACCAAGCCGTATTTGTATCCCGATAGATATTTAAAAATGATACTTTATTTCTTAAATAAAATGTACTTAATTAAAAAAAAGAGAGAGGATATCATAATCCATCTTCGCTAGCCAGGGATTTCTGATACGCTACACTCCTCATAAACCCTTGGCATAAGGAGCTGACAAAAGACGGGATTGTTTTTGTCACGTGATCACGATTCTTACCAGGTAAGCACAGATTGCGTCATCGACAGAAATAACAATCATATTTAAAACAATAATGTTTTTAAAGAATAATTAACAAGAAGGTATTGAGTTATGTTAATTTGTTATTTAAACATGTTAAAATGCAAATCTAAATCTTCAGTATTGATTCTTAATCACATATTTTGCACGTAGCTTAAGATATTGGATGACACCATATACCTATTCATAGAATGGCATGTTATCTTACGGATCGTTGTTTACTTGCGTTTTTCATTCCCGATATGAAAGAGTCAAGATATATCCCGAACGCAAATATCTTCATTTACAAAAAACAATTGCTGATTGGTCGAACGATGTCGATCAACTCCAATCATAACTTGAGAAAAAAATCCCAACTTTTTTTAACACCGTATGCCAAGGGCTTATGAGGAGAGTAGCGTATCAGAAACCCTTGGCTAGCGAAGATGATCATAATCATGTTATACCTAAGTTTTAAAAAGCCTGCCTCGATGAATGTTTTAGTTTTTGACCCGAGAAACTAAAGATTATTT